GGACCGCCCTATCAGTCCGAGGCTCCGTCCTCGGAGTTCAATGGTGATAAGAGTTCTGATATTGAAATCAGGGGCGCCCCATCAGTCCGAGGCTCCATCCTCGGAGTTCAAGGGTGATAAGACTTCTGGTTTTAAAGTCAGGACCGCCCCATCAGTCCGAGGCTCCATCCTCGGAGTTCAAGGGTGGTCAGAGTTCTGTTTTTTCAAAATCAAGGGCACCCCGTCAGTCCAAGGCTCCATCCTCGGAGTTCAAGGGGTGGTGAGAGTTTTGATTTTAAAATCAGGGGCGCCCCATCAGTCCGAGGCTCCATCCTCGGAGTTCAAGGGTGGTAAGAGTTCTCATTTTAAAATCAGGGGCGCCCCATCAGTCCAAGGCTCCATCCTCGGAGTTCAATGGTGATTAGAGTTCTGATTTTCAATCCAGGGGGTCCCATCAGTCCCAGGCTCCATCCTCGGAGTTCAAGGGTGATAAGAGTTCTCATTTTCAATCCAGGGGGTCCCATCAGTCCCAAACTCCTTCCTCGGAGGTCAATGGTGATAAGAGTTCTGATTTTAAAATCAGGGGTGTTCAAGGGTGATAAGACTTCTGGTTTTAAAGACAGGACCGCCCTATCAGTCCGAGGCTCCATCCTCGGAGTTCAAGGGTGGTAAGAGTTCTGATTTTAAACTCAGGGGCGCCCCATCAGTTCGAGGCTCCATCCGCGGAGTTCAAGGGTGGTAAAAGTTCGCATTTTTCATCCAAAGGCGCCCCATCAGTCCCAGGCTCCATCCTCGGAGTTCAATGGTGATAAGAGTTCTGATATTGAAATCAGGGGCGCCCCATCAGTCCGAGGCTCCATCCTCGGAGTTCAAGGGTGATAAGACTTCTGGTTTTAAAGTCAGGACCGCCCCATCAGTCCGAGGCTCCATCCCCGGAGTTCAAGGGTGGTAAGAGTTCTGTTTTTTCAAAATCAAGGGCGCCCCGTCAGTCCAAGGCTCCATCCTCGGAGTTCAAGGGGTGGTGAGAGTTTTGATTTTAAAATCAGGGGCGCCGTATCAGTCCAAGGCTCCATCCTCGGAGTTCAAGGGTGGTAAGAGTTCTGATTTTAAAATCAGGGGCGCCCCATCAGTCCAAGGCTCCACAAGCTGCGCAGTTGGCGCAAGCGGCGCAGCCGGCGTCGGCGCACCGGCGCATCCATGTGGTGGGTCGGCGCACCGGCGCACCGGTACATCGGCGCATCCGTGTTCCAGCGGCGCAACGGCGCACTGGCTGGCGCATCGGCGCAACCGAGTTGCATGCGGTGCACCGACGCACCGCGCAACTGTGAGGTGCTGCACCCATTGCCCCCACGCTCCATATATACGTATATATATATATATATATATACATGTACACATATACATGTACATACATGTACACATGTAAACATATAAATATATAAACATACATACAAACATACTTATATACACATACATATAAAGGTAAATATATGCATGTACACATATAAACATAAATACACATGCTCTAAGCATCCTGGCATCATCAGCAAAAGAACAGGAACGAAAGCGAGGCGTTCGAAACTTCATACCAGCTTGACAAGCCCGATGCCAGTGCACAAGGACACCAGGGCACAAGGGCACAAGGACACCAGGGCACAAGGGCACAAGGGCACAAGGGCACAAGGGCACAAGGGCACAAGGGCACAGGGCACAAGGGCACAAGGGCACAAGGGCACAAGGGCACAAGGGCACAAGGGCGCAAGGGCACAAGGGCACAAGGGCACAAGGGCACAAGGGCACAAGGGCCCGGGAACAGGAGAGGACCGAAGCCGATAAACTTGGAACGATACCGAGAAGAGCAACGCGACACAAGCTTACCGTTTTCAGGCCTTTTCTACATCTTCAGGTTGTGAGCGCCCAATTTACGAGACCGTCGGCGACCTTGGACGGAAACTTCTGGACCTGACTATGCTCAACCATATCGGGACTGGTCTTGGAAAATGGAACAATCTGGACATGTTTCAGTGTCTGGGAACAGTGGAGCCTCGCAATTGGGAGTGCAATCGGACTGGGCGCGACTTACGGATCTGGAGGGCTGCCTGACAACATGGGTGGAGCTAGTCTTCGAATATGAGTTTGCAGGTGCAGCACAACAGCTAGAACAAGCTCCACAGCAGCCAGCAGCCACACAAGCTCCGCAGCAACCAGAAATCGCAGAAGCTCCACAGCAGCCTGCAATCGCACAAGCCTGACAGCAAGCATCACTACCTGTACAAACTCCACAGCAAGCTCTCCAGAAATCGGTGATGTCGCAGATGCTGCAGCAACCGACTGCCTTTGTGAATCCGCATGAGCCTGCAGCGCTGACAGCACCTCAATCTTCTGCTCCAGATGCTCAAATATCTCAGTCTGTGGATCAGGGTGATGTACGAACAACACAGGAGCCTACTAATTACTAGTGGACAACAGATGACAGTGCAGTCATCTGAACTGCTTAACCTGGCCGGATCTGACAAGCTCCTCGTTATCATCCTTTACGGCTTGCGACTCCGAGACCCGCGGGGCCTCAGCAGGAGTTTGACCATGGACATGAACCTCAAGGCCAGTAGCAGGGGCACCTCGACTCAAGGCGATGTTCAGAACGCTTCGCCAGTGACATTGACTTCAGAACATATGTTTGCGTCGGCCCAAAGTCAAGAAGTTCATGAAGGATCCCAGGAGAGTTTGGATGAACTTTGGGGAGATGTTCCAGAGACGAGTTGTTGCACCAGTTTGGAGCGTTAGAAGACATTTTGCTGGCTCAGGAAGTGTACAAGGATCTGTGGAACCTTCATCGGGCTGTCGTGTCCGGTTGAAATGCAGCGTGCTTGGAAATGCACCGGAAGCGGCCCTCCTTGATCAGCGCCCACAGCAAGATGAGACTTCACCAGGCAGTGTCAACCAGGAGGTGATCATGGAAGAGGTCAAAAGGCAAGTGACAGAGGCAACGCAGGGCCGTGATCAGGAGGTGGCTTCGCTGAGGCAGAAGAAGAAGAAGAAGGGGTTGGAGCATGCGCTAGCCGAGACGAACAAGGTGATGAGGCCAATGGGTACAGGTGAGGCGTAGAGCCATCCCGCCCATCCCGCTAAGAGGCTAGAGGAGAAAAAGCGAACTAAATTTAAAGGAACACAACTACTCCAGCAGGTGGCCATGGTCTCCGTTCCAAGTGGCGTAAAATAGAAGCGCACTGCGCTGCACTGCCGGGGGCGTAGAGGACGTGGAGCCTGAATAGAAACTCCGACACATTCGAGATGCGGTGGGTGACAGCTCCACTTCATACAGCCAGCTCCTGCATGGAGTAAGCTCTCCCTTCACGTGATCCCTCGACCCTCCTTTGCCCATGTACACTTTTCCCATGTACGCTCTACGACGACGGCGGCGACACCTGTATCGAGCTGATGCAATGCATGTGCTATTGGTGCTCCTGAAATGTCCTGAAATGGTGGTCAAACATTCATGACGGCAGGAACTGGAGAGGCAGGTGCTTCAACGAGGCACAATGGAGCCGCGCCGATACTTTGCGTCACACCATGGCTGCACAAAGGGTGGGGTGCGCAAGCTTGATCATACCTTTGCAACCAAGGAGGCCAAGAGGAGCAAGCACTGGTTCTGCGATCAGACGGAACGCCCAGTACTCAGTACAGGCTGGACGCCCGGCTTCACCTCCCAAGGGACGAACCCCGCAACCCGCAACGTCACCGGCTTCTTCCTGGCCCGAAGATACGGGGGAGTGCACAGCGACCGGACCCTATATGTTTTCACGGACGAACGAAGCATCATCATCGTCATACTGTAAAAAAGCTTAGTCTGTACATTCTCTCACTCTTGATTTGTGCGTGTCTTCTGTTGCAGGGGCCATGCCTGAGCATATACACGCCTGCGCCTTGAACATATTGTGAAACATGCACCCGCCGTCAACAAGCAAGTAGTAAGCTGCGTACCTGAGGGATTCGCTCTCCCCCGGATGAAAATTTCATCCCTTCGACGGTGTCTGTACATGGTGCATTCCTTCCAACCGCAAAGCTTGGAGCAAGCTCTCTAGCTTCAAAAACGGTTCATATGCCATTCCTCCACTGCGCTGCTCATGTCCCCACGCGGATCTCGAGCTCGGTTCTTCCTACCCACTGTTGATCCATCATCCTTCTCGCACTGTCAATCCGGAAATTGTCGTCCAGCAGCTCCTCTGTACCATCACTGTATGTGATCACCGTACGTCTCCTTCCCGTGAGTCTGCTCATAGCAATCGGACTCGTAGTGCGATTGGGATCAAATAGCATAATACGCCATGCGAAGTGCCAACGAATCAGCACATTCTGTCTCGCGGCATGCCTTGTGTACTCGTCCCGCGTGTAAGCATCATTGGGCCGCAGCTGATGCAGCGCTGAAGCTAACCCACCCCAAGCGGACTGGTAAGCAGCCAAGTATGCCAGTGGAGGTTGGTTTTCTGATGCGGGCCAATCGGCACGCAGCCGAACGACCGGGTAATTTACGAACTGATTTGGCATCCAGTTTGGGCCTTCATTCGAACCCCTCGCGTCTCGTTGAGCCTCAAGAGCCTGACGAACCCTGTTTTGAACATTCCAAGGCGGTAGGCCGGAGGCTTCAACAGCAGCTGGCTCAAAGTCCGGCTCATCATGGTAGACTCTCTGTCCCTGTCTTCTTCTTCTCAATCTCTCTTCTTCTTCTTCTGGGGGAGGGCCAACATACATCACATCGTCAACGTAACGAACGACCGTCCCCTCAGGAGGCACAGTAAGCTCACGAGCTACATCATGATCCTCTACCCTGTCCGCTGCCTGAGGCGAGAACTCCTGAAGTTCGTCCTCATCGTCAGGCTGATTTTCCCCATCCGAGCTACGCTCCTCTTCTGGCTCATGTCGCTCAACCTCTCTCCTCTGTACTCTACGTCGCCTACAACACCAACGACATGCCCACTTCAGACCTTCCCAAAGAGCAATAGACGTACAGCATACCAGAAACATCAAGAACCATAGCTCATGGCTGTGACCTTCTGGTTCATCTGGCGATTGCTGAGCCTCTGCCGTGACGGCTGCCAATGTGTTCCTGCATCGGCGATGTTTTTCGCCCCCTCTATGTGCCCCACGATGACATGTCCTTGCTTGGCCTGTTCCCTCAGCACATGTGCTCGAATCCTCAGGTGCCTACTTCTCCACCCGTTGGAGTCGCCATTCACAATACAGGTTGAAGCCATGTTGTCGTTCAACACGACCAACCGTGGCACCTTACCCATAAACTCCTGAAGGACGTAAGTTTGGGCCCTACCGAAGCTGAATCCTGTCATCAAACTCAAGAGCTCTGACTCCGCGGTCGACGCAGCAGTGAACGGTTGTCTACCAGTGTTCCACCCCGTCAGAGACCCTTGAGTGTAAACCAAAGTTGACTCTTGCGATCGCTCACATACAGGCGCGAATGCACTGTCTGTCATGGCCTCGATCACACCTTCAGCGTTCGGGGTGGCAGTAGCGCCTGGTTCACCCTGACAAGAGTACGTAGCCCGATATCGGAGGCAAAGGTCCTGCGTGTAGACAAGGTAACCAATGAGCTGCATGACTCTCTTTCTCACCGTAGCGGGGTCCCTTGACATGGTCTGGGCAAGGCGGGAAACAGTGAAAATAATGTCTGGCCGAGCGCGCCCTGCAACCCATAAGATTTCGCCCAGCGCCGTTTGGCATGCAGAAATATCTTCGGGCCTACGCTCGGACGCATCCTCTACATCCACGGGTCCCGGGGTAGCAGGAACGCACGAGGCAGTTGCCTCGGGGTACCTAGTCGCCACATCCCGAATGAAATCTTGCTGGCCAAGCAACAGGTCCTTACCATCCCAGCGCAGCTCAAAACCAAAGAACTTGAGTGGGGGTTTAGTGGGGTCCTCGGGGATCCACTCTACCGGTCCGCACTTCCAGCGCGAAGTGATCAGCTCGAATATCATCGTTAAGACTGGGCTGGGACCAAAGGCTAAGAGATCATCGACATACACCAACATGCATGCAACAGGCTCTCTCCAACAGTGGCTCTCTCCATCTTTAGGCACTCTCCGAAGGTACCACAAATTAGAGTCGACCAAGCTCTGCTCAAACATGCATGTGACCCCATCGACTTGGCATGACATGCCCTCAATCTCACTGTCCCTCTTGATAGACCAGTCTCTTGGGGATTGATCCAACCCATACAGTGCCTTACACACCAGCATGAAGCATGACCGATCAACATGTCCGTGTCTATGCACAATGCTCGGAATCTTCAAAACAATCACCTCAGTTGGGACATCCAAGGACAAAGGAGGCGGGGAGGAACGAGGATTCACTCGATCAAGCAGCTCGGCGTTCAAAAACGCTGTAGTGATATCTGTAGCTCCCCCCTTCCAGGCTCTCTTTACCGCAATCGATGCCGCTTGGCGCATCACTGAAGGGTCGATTCCTCCAGCATACAGATTTGCCTTGGATTGTGAGTGCTTACCCTTAGCCTGGCTCTGCCCATCTAGATGATTTCCACAGGCTACCAACCGTGCCTTATGGCGCCCACCAGCCTTTCGGGTAAACACCATCTTGCTAGGAATAATGGTCACGCATGTTCCCTTTTCTTGCATTGCTTGCATTTCAGCGCTGGTGATCACCCTTACCGCCTGCTTTTCATGAACCAACGAATCAAGTTCTGCCTGGACTGCCGCGGACCACAAACTGTAATGCCTCTCAACTTCTTCCAACGGAACAGTGTGAGTAGTTAGCACTTCCGCATCGGGGAGCGTGGAATACTCGACACCGTCATCGGCCTTGCAACACCTCTCTTCTAAACGCTTGATCGTGGAAGACAGCCCATGAATATAACCCTCACGGTCACTATCCCCGGCTACCCCACTCCGATCTTGGAGCTTACACTCCCGACTCAGCAACGCCTTGAGGGCGATCTGCTGCCCATCAGGGTCAAAAGACTCAGAGGCCTCACCGACCCCAACCCAAGTTTCACCCGAGCTATCATGATCATCAGGTCCAACCTCACGATCCGAAGCTCGACCTACAATGCTCTCCCACTCGACACAAGTAGGCTCACAAAACAGAAGATTACTCGTCACGGACACGTCCACAAACTCGCAATCCTCGGAAAAATCGGCATTCAGAGCGTTTAGACCACCCTTATGCCCCACCCGCGCACCCACCCCAAGTGGGTCACAGCTCACATCCTCCCACCCAGCGCTGCCTGCCTGGCCAAGGGAAGGCGAAGCCTTTAAATCGCTCTCTGCATACTCAACAACATGTCTTTCACAGATTGAGCAAAGTCCAGCTACATCACTTTCACACGCCTTGCACCTGAAGGACCTACCGGAAAACCCACTTGCACCACTAGAAACCACTGGACCCTCAACGAGACCTGGCGCCCAATGCACACACTTCTGTTTCAACTTTCCTACACCCTTCAAGATGCCCTGGCTTTCAACCTCTCTTTCTCTGGTGTCATCACGATCACACGAAGAGTCACCACGACGGCCATCAAAACACGGAGAATCACCACGACCCTCCTCACGACACTGAGTCACACCACGACCCTCATCACGACATGGAGTCTCACCACGACCCTCATTACGACACTGAGCATCACTACGACCCTCATCACGACATGGAGCCTCACCACGACCCTCATCACGACACTGAGCATCACTACGACCCTCATCTCGACACTGAGCATCACTACGACCCTCATCTCGCCGACGACTTTCGCCCGCAGCTGCGAACTTCTCTGCATTCGCTGGGTCTAACCATGGGTAGGGAGCCGGAGCATTCTGATTCCGCACCAAACTCGAGAAAGACCCTTCCTCATCACCGTATCTAGCATACATAGCTGGGACATCAACGATATCACCGGCTTTCAGCTGATTTGTGAGCCTTCGCCGTTGGACAAGCGTTAGCCCTGATCGCATCTCTTCTTTCTGAAGATCCCTCACCCTCGGAGCGCGAATATCATGACACTCTGAAGCGGTTTCATCGGATCCTTGGAGAACCTGTTCTGGGGCTTTGAAAACGTTTTCTTCAATGCGTTGCTCTAGGTCTCCCCCCTGCTGGCGATCAGTGACTCTCTCAAGACCCTTCAAGCTGTAAGCTACCAGCAAAATGCGTGACCCTTCACCCCAGTCTTCTGTAGCATGCCACTTGTGAGGGTTCAAAAGGAAGGGACATAGGGGAGTGAGGTCATGGACAGTGCCTGGTGCTTGTTGCTTGGGCGTGACCCACCTCCGATCAGCCCCGCTTTCATCCTGCACCCAAATCCCCCCTTACTGGGAACCTCAAGGGGTATGACAGCGTTGGAGGTCGGTTGGTTGAACTTGTCTTTGTGCGGCTTTGCCGTGGTCTGACTGAGGATTGCAAGTGTAGTACACACATGTCCAGGTATCACATGTTGCACAAGACGGTTGAGTAGTTTGGTAAACCCTGGGAAGGATAAGCAATCTTTGGTCAACCCACCAATGCCACCATGACAATAAAATCCTAGGACCCTCGCGGACCCAGCATTTTCACGAAACCTCGCCCCAAGCCTTCCTGAAGAATCCCGAATCCAGCGCGACCCTAACACGAACCTTCGAGACCTCTCAACATCGAACGGCTCGATCGACGCTAGACATGATGCATGCTCATCTTCAGACAACAGCCCATCAAGCATAGCAACAGATTCATCAGCGGCCGGTTTCTCTGCCCTCCGAGCGCTCAACGACGTCTTTCTGCGAACACGAACATCTGGGATCACTGCTGGACTAGCTGGCTTGGCTTTCTCGGCGGGGATGTGAAACTCTTCAGGGTTTGTGTGCACAAGGTCTTCATACACGCATGGTACATTCAGTAATGTGTCCTCTACAGTGCGCACAAGATACCCTGCCGAAAGCTCACGCGCAGGTGCCAACACCTTAGCCTCAACCACTCTCGACTTCCAATCGCCCCCCCTTGCCAAATTCCAACTTCTCTGAAGCACATGAACCTTAGCCCCAAAAGGAATCAACCGCGGAATGTCCCACCCAAGCTTGACAGCCTGATCGCGGAATCGCTGAGCGCATGCATGACGGATAGCATAGGGCCAATCCTGATCACTAACATCAGACTCTTTCATCAAGGTCCTAGCACACCCCTTCAGGATGCCGATGAGGTTCTCGGCAAAAGGATTGGCCTTGAACCGGTCACCTCCTGTGTTTGTTTTGTGCATTCCTCTCTCTTTGGCCCATGTTCGCAACATGTTATTGCAGAACTCTTTACCTGCATCACTATGTAACCGTGCTACATGACACCCCATCGCACACAGCCTGGCCTCAATGCCCTTGATTCCATTCATCACGTCCCTTGCCCCTTTTGAGGGTAACGGTACGACGAACGGCAAGTGAACTAGCTCTAGCTGTTCTAGCGGTTGTGGCTCTGACTCAACCGGGGCGTCATCAAGCTCAATAGGGCCCACGCCTCCACCGTCATCGTCATCACGATCGTCGTCATCCGCATTCTCCCACTCCCCTGGCTCCCCCGGAACAGCTGCTACATCTGCCTCAGGCTTATCCACTCTAGACCCGTTTAGCTCTGGCGCCCTAGGTACGGAGAAAACTGCAGCAAGGAAATATCTTGCCTTCGCACCCTCATGAGTACCGCGCTTAAAAGGTCCTGCGAGATCAACCGACAGCACGAACGAATCGCTCACCGTCTGTCTGTAATGATTCTGTTTCTTCGCTCTTCCCGCTACACACGCATAGCAGTCCTTACGGTAGGGGACATGTCCAGCTAACACGTGGTCCTTCATGGATTGCTGTACCTGAAGCCTCCGCATACCTTCTACGGTGGACCCCTGTTGAAGAGCAGCATCCAGGTACTCTTCTACTGCTTGAACTAACCCTGGAGACCAGCGTGCCTGATCTGCACTACACCCCGATGTATCCCGGTTGAGTCCCGGACCTCGGATGTTCATAGCCCAGTTCGGCCATAACCGTTCGAGACATGCTACTGTGGTTGGCCTTCTGCACATGTGCCCCAGGGGGCCTTGGTCAAGCCTCAGAAGCTGCAACCCCAGTGTCTTCCGCAATGTATCAAACTCTGGCGTTACCCACAACGAAGGAGCCTGCTCGTGGCTACCCCCAAACACTTCCCAAGGGTCCCTTGGGTTCTCCAGGAAATACGGGAAACCCGCCATTCGTACGACTTGGATCTGATCCCGACCCCACTTTGAGGCAACACCCAGAATAAAGCTTCTGAGCATGAGCTGGTCGTCATAGTCAACCTTCTCACGCTCTTGGTGGGAGAGGTTCTCCAATCCAAACCTTTCCAACCCATACCGCGCCCGAACCACCGATGGTCCTTCATCCTTACCTCCAAGGGCTGAGCGAGTCCTATCCGGAAGACCTGAAAGCACTGCAACAACCTTACCAGCGAGCGCCTGCTTCAGCAAGTATGTGTACGTAGCCGGATCGTTAAGGTCTTCAGTGGAGTCTATGGCTACAACCTTAGCCCCATGCTTCGCGGCTACAGCGTCAAACTCATGCCTCGATCTTCCACAGAAAAGATGCAGAACTATACCCTTGGAACGCTCTACTGCCCTGCGCCTCCTACGATTGAAGGCGCCTGGGGGCCCAGACCCCTGTGAGATCAAAGACACTGCTTGGGCAGCCTCTCGTGGGAATTCCGGAAAGAGCTTCTCACATAAAATCTCATGCCACATTTTAGCATCCCTTGACCTACCTTCTCTCACACTCTCGGCTACTTTACACATGACTGCCTCCCAGGACACCGCATCAGCATCACGCATCATAGCAAGCTGATCTTCACCATACCCATGAATGTTGAAAGTTTCGATGCGGTCCATCAGGTTTTGCGCTACAGCCTTACACACCCTCGGACAGCCGGAAGCCGTGGACAAAGGAACCGAGTAACCCTCTTCATCGAACAGTTGACATGCCCTCTTGGACCAAACCAGACGAAAGCCGATGGTGATGAGCTGTCGGAGCGAAACGATGGGTTCAACTTCTTCGTTAGCTAGTAAAACTCCCCCGGCGCTGAATCCCATCTGAACTTCTCCCTGCGCGAGCGAAACCGTCTTCTCTCCAACTGGCTGCTCATCTTCCCTACGCATGCGCATGCATGTTGTGGCACCGGAGTCTATCAGACCTGTTTCATCGCGGGGACCTGGCTTCGGCGGGTATTTCGAACCTAGCTGTAAGGCCTTGATTGAGGTTTGAATAGATTCCAACACCGCGTTGGCCCGTGCAATCAGCTCGTCACGAGCCGACTTGTCGGTTTCACTAGCCCCCTTATCCTGAGTCTTCATAACCTCATCCCCTGATTTCCCCTTTTGGCTACCTTTCCCTGGCTTCCCACCGGGCTCGGCTTGCGCACGCGGGAACGGACAATCTGGCTTTCGGTGCTTTGTGCTACTGCAGTTGAAACACCTCTTATCGGCAGGGGTGAGGGCATCATGCGCAAACGTACAAGACTTCCCATACCTACACCCGTCATCGGTTCTCCAGAGCCGACAAAGTTGTTTTCCACCATCCACCTTGGCAGCCCCCTTTGATGCACCCTTTCCTTCCTTCCCAACCTTTCCTCCCTTTCCTGGCACCTCATCCGCCTTAGCTACCGTCTGCCTCGCTCCACCCTTGTCTGCAGCTTCTGACAACACCGCCTCCTCGGCCTCTGCAAGCAGGAGCTCTGAAAACTGCAAAACCGTCTGTTGAGTTGGAGCCTGGTCGAGCAGAGCCTGCGATCGGAAGGTTTGTACTCGGAAGGCTGCTGTATCGGACAATGTCGGGGCGAGCCTTTCAAGACCCTTGAGCTGAAGGCTAGGGTCAGGAACGATTACCTGGAGTTCACGAGCACGGGCTAACCAACGACGCCATTTCCGCAGTGCTTTAACTGATGCAGCGCTTGTGGTGACGTTTTCAGGGGTGACTAGAAACGACAGAAGTTGCTGTTTCTCTGCAGCTCCTCCCGGTTGATATTTCGCCATAACCTTGAACACAATAGCGCATGTACCCAGCAAGCAAAGAGAGATCAGATCATCCTTCAGCTCATTACCCACTGCAGCCAACAACAAACTGACCGCCCGTTGATCAACCCTCGAGAACTTTCCATCGCGGTACCTGTTTACCAAGACCTCCGCCTGGATATGTAGTCTCTCCAGTGGGGAAGAGGATAACCATCGGCCATAGAACAGCTTGGCCGTGCTTACACAGTCCTCCCAAAACACCCAAGCAGAAGCGGACAGCGAAGTAATCACTGGCGTCAACGAGATAAGCCAATCCCCTGCTACGATGGCTGATGTGGATGGGTTGTACTTGTCCAATTTAGGAAGCTCCAGCGAGGTTTTGGTAGGCTCCTCCGGCTTCTCGCCGATTCCCGGCGAGGGATCCAATCCGAAACCCCTGATCCCTGAAGCCTCACCGCCTGAGCTCCCCAACCCGAAACCACCCCAACCCATGCTTGCTTGCTGTCCTGTACTACCCGTGGTCCTCAACGCAGCAGGGATGGGTGGGGGAGGTGGGTAAGCCCCCCATGCCTTAGGTCCAAGTGTCTCCCAACTGCCTGTCCAATGATCCTGATGCTGTGGCGGGGGTGGTGGCCTAATCACTGTACCATCTGGCGATATCGGATACGGCAGTCTGCCTACAGCCTGATCGTTACCTGGAGTAGAAACTCCCTTACAACCCCGATCCCTTTCAGCACTGATTTCGGCTCGTACAGCTGGGGTGTTCCTTTGCTTTGGGGTGCTTCTACTCCTGGGCGGGCTAGTGGTGTGTACCCTCCGAATGTTAGGAGTAACGACCTCATGATGTACGGACGTAGCCTGAAATGGAGACATCGACCTTTGATCAAGCACCTGGCTGACTGTGCAACTGCCACTCTCTCTGCCCCTCTCTCTCTCTCTTGCACACGCGTGAGTTTAAGACCATCCGGCGTCATCTGCCAGTCGTAAGAGATACCCTCCACCACCGTCACACCCTTGCTTTGATGCGTTGGGGCCTCAACGTGAGCGGAACCATTGCCCTTGGATGCCAAATCCCGCGCATGATGCAAACGAGTATCCTGAACCCCAACCGCTGACTCAGGCAAAACACCCGCTGGAACGGTAGTGGGTTGCTTCAACGCTGCATCTGCATTAATTAGCCCCACTAGCACTTGGCTTGGAGCCCACCTCCAACGACTGAAGCATGGCCAATACATGCTCACCTTGCGCCGTCAACGGCACTTGGGAGTCTCTCTCACTCTCCAACCTGTCTAGTCGGGACATGACCGCAGCCTGACTCATCATCATACGATCTAGAGCAGGAGCCACATGGCTCTGCAGCGTCTGCTGTAGCATAGCACTCAACTGTCCCATGAGATCATTCGTCACCGCTGGTGGCGGCGCCGTAACTTGAGGCATCCTGCCTGCGGCCACTGATCGTGGCTCTTCTGTGGCTGGAATCAACTCATGATCACTCTGAGGACTGAAGTGTCTTGTTGCCGTCTGTTCTGTTGAGCTACCCGAGCCCCCATCCAGCAACCCAAGTGCTTCAGCATCCAGACCAAACTCTAAAGATGCCCCAGTCGCTCGCAAACCATACGGTGGATCTAGCGGCTCGCTGTCCGGAAACAGGCGTTGACTTCTCTCATCTTCAGGTGAAACAGACGTGTTGCCATCTCTTGCTTCCTCGAACTCTTCATCCATAGCTTGTGCTAGCGCATCGTCGTGATCAGCAGTGTTAGTGCCATCATCTTGGTGTGCCATGGCTCAAACAGGATCCGGTTACGAGCTGCTTGGGCTCATAACCCCCGAAGATACGGGGGAGTGCACAGCGACCGGACCCTATATGTTTTCACGGACGAACGAAGCATCATCATCGTCATACTGTAAAAAAGCTTAGTCTGTACATTCTCTCACTCTTGATTTGTGCGTGTCTTCTGTTGCAGGGGCCATGCCTGAGCATATACACGCCTGCGCCTTGAACATATTGTGAAACATGCACCCGCCGTCAACAAGCAAGTAGTAAGCTGCGTACCTGAGGGATTCGCTCCTGGAACCAGGTTTCCGCGCAACTGTGGCAAGCGATCTTGGAGTCCATCCAGGCTGTGATGGGAACCAACCCTACCACAGCTACGAGCTCATGCCAGGATCTATGGTGTCAACAGGAGCATCAACGGCTGGCTGCCCAGCGACTCCAGAGCTCCCAGCAACGACAACAACGATTTTTGGGCCCTCTACGTTGGACAACGCAGGCAGCGATGAGTGGACCCAGGAAAACTGTTGACAATCATTCGAACCATCGTGGCTCGCTTCTCTCCTTCACTACTTACTGCACGCGGCATTTTATCACTTCGGTCCTGAACCGAAGCTTTCCGGCGTAGCACTGCTTCAGCTCATGCTGGGACACTTCCTACCGCGCCACGACTTCAGCCTCTATATACAGTACACGGTACACAGTGGCAGTCCAGCACCCCGCCTCGGAAAGGCTTCGTTCTTTTGGGTGTTCTTGCTACGACTTTGCACAAGGAGGAGAAGTGCCGCCTTACGGACACTGTGGCTGCCTTGAGATTTTTCGCCTCCGCTCTTGCTTTGGTCCTGTAGCAAGGCTTCTTGCGGAAATTTTCCTTATTTCTTCGCTTTCGATTTCTGCGAAAACTTTGTGTTAACAAACAAAAGTATTCGTGACCTTCATATGTGGCCAAAAAAGAGAAGTATGAATATAATTGAGAGGATATGTTCTCAGAACAAATATTTCCAAGTATAATTTATGGAAGAATATTCAGAATCTCATTCGAATAGTTCACAACACAGTCGATGGAACACGTCACTCTCTTTTTCTTCTAGGAAAGCGTGGGGTCAAGTGAACAGGTTTCTCGTGGCGTACTCTGTCCTTCACACCCCGGGTGGGTGGGTGGGACGAAAAACTTCTCTGACACTACCTTCGAGCATCGAGACAACGGTTCGGAACATGTGTTCAGTAATCCAGAATGCAATTCAATGGAAACCGTGATGCAAAGCTGCTTCCCCCAAAAAGCGGGATCATGAACATTTTTCGAAATAAAAGGAAATCAAACAAATTCATCTTAGCTCAGCAATAAGGACTTATCAAGCTCGCCTGGTGTCCATCTTATTTCTTCGCTTTCGATTTCTGCGAAAACTTTGTGTTAACAAAAAGTTTTCTTGACCTTCATATGTGGCCAAAAAAAGGGAAGTATGAATATAATTGAGAGGATATGTTCCTCAGAACAAATATTTCCAAGTATAATTTATGGAAGAATATTCAGAATCTCATTCGAATAGTTCACAACACAGTCGATGGAACACGTCACTCTCTTTTTCTTCTAGGAAAGCGTGGGGTCAAGCGATACTCCGTCCTTCACACCCCGCGACCTAGGAGAGAGGAACTTGGAGTTGCCGACCGAGTTGCCGGATATGCCGAGCAGGCCGATGATCGCCGACGGTTCGGTGGATGAAGGCGGATCAGGAACAGGAGCAGGACCACCAGCAGAGGGGAAAGAGAAGCCGATGTCGGAGGCCGTTTGGAAAAGTGCGAAGGAGATGGTGGATAGAGGACTCAAGACCTTGAAGCAATTGCAGAGCAAGAACGAGAACCTGCTCAGTCAAGTAAATTCCGGGGATGATGCACACACACACACACACACGGCAGCTCTTGTGTGGCACGGGGGTGTGTGTGGGGCTGCTATACCGGGTTTAGTTTTGGGCGGCTTGGGGGCCTGTCCCGGAACTTCTTCAAATTCTCCATCTGCTGCCTTGATGTTTCAGTCCGACCGTTGATTTCTTTCCTTACAGCATGTGGGGCTTGCTGATGAAACAAGTCTGCTTTGGTATATACAGGCTTCTATATATATATATATAACAAACATACAATAGAGAACAAGAACTATATAACATCCTATTTTCAAGTCCAAGCCTCAACTGTCGGAAAGTGTGTACAGCCCTGATAGCAAAGGGACCAAATCCGCAGGGGAGGAAGCCCTAATCCTTAAAGGCTGGAGTGCAACAGAGAAGTCTCCAGCCAACGAAGACGCTTCTGTGCTTGCAGTGCAAACGTACCTGCAGTGGTGCACCTGGGGACAGTGAATCCAGCTGGTGGCCACAACACGTTAAGTAAATCGCTCTAGCTACTCCCACCATGGAGTTTGCAAGTGTGTGTGTGACCCAGGCACAAGACTGCAAAGGTTTATGGACAGTATGTGTTACCCTTCGGGGCGCGCTCGAGCGTCCACGGATTCTGCAGAGTTTCAGCAGGCCTCTGGCTCGTCGGAGTGTCCGTGCTAAGGCTACGCTGGTACGCATATTTCGACGACTTCCCGACGGTCGAGCCAGAACAGACTTGCCCCATAGCTCGGATGGGGATTGACTTCCTTTTCAGCCTGCTCGGCTGGGAAACCTCGGGTGAAAAGGACAATCCTTTTTCTGAGAAATGCAAAGTTCTAGGCCTCGAGTATGACCTTGAAGAAACTAAGCTAGGGACACTAGTCATTAGGAATACGGCCAAAAGGATTGAGGATGTTTCTTCTGAGATAGACAGGGCTCTTGGAGAAAACTTCTTGTCAGCGAAAGAAAGACGGCGAGCGTCTCAGAGGGCGCCTGAACTTCATGGACAGCCATGTCGTTGGGAAGCTTTCCCAGCATGCCTTCAGGGGCCTGTCTCGACATGTCCTTGCAGAAGGTGGGAAGCTGAGCGTCGCAACCACGGTCCACCTCCAGTTTCTTAAAGACCCCATTTCCGGCAGGATGCCCAGGCGAGTCGCCGCCGCCCTTCAGGACACTGTGCGCATTTTTCGTAGATGCCTGCCACGCTGCAGGCTTGGGCGGCAATCTGGTCGACCGTTCCGGACATTAACTGGAGTATTACTCCGAGATGCTTGATGAGCCAGCTCTTGCCTCCATCAACGTCGGAGGGAGCCAGAACCCCATCTTTGAGCTTGAGTGTCTTGCCATTTTGTGCGCCGTGCACTTGTGGCACTCGCGCATCTCCGGAAAGCACCTCGTTGTATACACTGACAACAATGGCGCCCCATGATCAAAGGTTATTCCGAGAATGCCGAAGGGAATGCAATAGTCCGATTGGTCCTTACCATTCTTGACTTGTCAGACTGCATTGTGTGGTTTGAGAGAGTGTGCTCCTCAAGCAACGTCTCAGACGAGCCGTCCCGTGGAGTGCTCCGCCCGATGTGGGGCGTGCTCTTGCGAGACCGTGGGCCAAGCCACGGTTTCAGTGCTTTGAATTTCCATCAGCATTTATGTCGCCGAAATTCTGGGACTGGGAGATCATCTGAAAGTTTAAACCCTTAAACCAGTATTCTTGTCTTAGCACGGCGCGAGCTTCGGAATCTTTTCTCACTACTCGCTCTGCTGTCAGGCTGTCTTGAGCCTACGTTTGACCTACGGAGATACGCAGTGAAACTTGCGCTAAATCGGGCACGAGGGAAAATTGAACATTCTGTTACGCCCTCATCGTATACACAGCTTTGTCGTGTGTATACGACCTAGTGAAACTTTTCCTAATTCTTGTGCTACTTCTACAACCGTTTTCGCATGCTCCTGTGAGCCTTCATCTTCACTTCTCGCACGCTTCTTTAAGCACTTGTGGGACATCTTTATCCTTTTCTTCCTTTGGTCTTCATCCTCACTCTTCTGATGTCCTATAGCAGATTTGCGAATTGCTTTCCACACACATTTGGCATGGACTCACTCCACTCTACGTGCACACTCACTTTTTCTGTACGTCGCTGTACGCGAGGTAGTCGTAGTCCATCCTTGCCTTTAGGCAATCTGGAAACTTTGCTGGACTTTTCTGTAGTCCTCTTTGTGAACATTGACTTAATTCTTCGTGGTGCTCGTAGTGCCTTTTTGTCGTATGCTTTAGGAGCCTTTTACGCGGTCTCCTGTCAGCTTCTTGAAACACTCTGAATGTGGCTTTTGGCTTGCCACTTTCTGCTGTGGACTTTTGTCCTCACTCTTCTCGCACTTCCCTTCTCACAGGCTTTTGGCGGTGTGAGACTCTCGTGCTTTGTGAAACATTTGCTTTCGCCTTTGCTGGGCGTCTTTGTGAACGCCCTCACTCTTCTTGCTTCTTTAAACCGTCCTCATCCTTGAGTTCTTGCCTCTGTACTATCCGGTGTCCCCGGATCAACTGATCCAGTCATAGTAGAACTTATTGCTTGGATCCTTCGCCTTAATCTTGCTCTATCATCATCCACTTCTTCACTGTGGGCTCTGAACCTTCTTCCCTCACTTGTGCCTTCTCTCCTTTCTTGACCAAGTCTTGCTCTTTCTTCAATTAACTCGTCGAGGCCTCGATCTTCTTCTTGCAGTTCTTGGGCCAGTACCGGAGCTAGCTCTTCTGCAGCTCGTCTGGTCCCCGCGAGGTACGCCTCATAGGTGAGGCGAGCTACTCCTTCGAGTTCTTGTTGGCCTCTGGTTTCCAACGAAGCTCTTCTTTCACTGAACGTCATGTTATTCCATTGTTCTTCTGTAACATCTTCTGCTCTTGGATATAACTCGTTCCTCTCCGGCTGGTTGTCTTCTTGCTCATGGCTTTCTTCTTCTTCTTCTTCACTTCCGTTGCTGTCGTACTTCTGTCGCCATACGCTTTCCGCATGGTCTCTTATGCATTCCACACAACTATGATTTATGTGGTTCCTTCTGCTTCTCGCGCAGCGGTTTTCATTGCACCACGTGCATATCCCGCTGCACACTTCTGTGCTCGTTCTTCTTGTTGAGCTGCCGCGGCTTTC